GTGTATCTTTGGCTATGTATATTTTCACCAAGAAAAAAAGGTCGAGAAGGGAGAGGGTTGACATGTCCTGGGGTTGTTAACCAACGTCATAAAACAATATGTGTAAAAAAAAAAAGAAAAATGTGTACTGACTGTTTAATGAGAAACTATTTGTTCTGCAAACCTTCACCTGAAGTACAATTAACAAAAAAAAAAAAAAAAAAGAAAAGAAAGGGAAAAAAAAATAATCCAGTAGAAGGGTAGAGATGAAACAAGACTGCATTCATTCCAGCTGATGACTGGGTGATGGGTACATAACCCATAAAACCAAACCCATTGCCACTGTATCGATTCCAACTCATAGTGACCCTACAGGACAGAGTAGAACTGCCCCATGGGGTTTCAAAGGCTGTAACCTTTACGGAAGCAGACTGCAACATCTTCTTCCCACGGAGTGGCTGGTGGGTTCAAACTGCCAACCTTTCAGTTAGCAGTCAAATGCTTAACCACTGTGCCACTAGGGTTCCTTAAACTCACTGCCATCGAGTCAATTCTGACTCATTGCGACCCTACAGGACAGAGTAGAATTGCCCAGTAGGGTTCCTAAGGCTGTAATCTTTATGGAAGCAAATTGCCACATCTCTCTCCCGCATCATGGCTGGTGAGTTCTAACCACTGACCTTCTGGTTTGCAGCTGAGCGCGTAACTACTGTGCAACCAGGGCTTCTTAATGGATACATAAAACCAAAAACCAAATCCACTGCTGCTGAGTCGATTCCAACTCATAGCGACCCTATAGGAGGGAGGAGAACTGCCCCATAGGGTTTCCAAGGAGCAGCTGGTGGATTCGAACTGCCACTTTTTGTTTGGCAGCTGGGCTCTTAACTACTGCACCACCAGGGCTCCAATGGGTACACAGGGATGTATTAATTTATTGTTGTTACACTTTTTTTTTTTTTTAAAGGGAATGATATTTAAGTATTTACAAACAAAATTATGTCTGGGATCTGCTTCAAAACAGTCCAATGCTTGAAGGGAGTGGGTGGATGGAGCGTGTAAAGCAAAACTGCTATGTATTGATAATTGTTGTTAAGTGATAGGTACATAGAATTTGGTAAATTTCCTTAATACAAAGTTTTAATAGGTTCCATTCCATGATAATACTAGAAAGTAATTTTTAAAAATTCTTGCTTTTTTCTTTTTCCTCCAACTTTTTCTATTAAAAATTTTCAAAATGAAATATCCTTTACCTTATACCATTTACCTAAATTCATCAATTGTTAACATTTCCCACATATGCACTCTGTCTCTCTCTCTCTAGGTGAATTTTTATGAAACATTTGAAAATTGTAGATCTCACACCCCTTCAACCCCTAAATACTGCAGAGTTCTGAGGGGAAGGTAATGTCTATATTTTGCATTTGTCAAAACTCTAGTAAATGCATTTGTACAAATTGTATGCAAATTTTACATCAAAAGAAAAAAAAAATCTACAATAATTATTGACCTTTAATTGATGTGCATGCCGAAGGATTTAGGGTAAAATCTACCGATGTCTGCAATTTACTCTGAAATGCATTAAAAATAAGATGGATAAAGGGATGGTAAACAGATAGATATGTGATAAAGCAAATACAGTAAATGCTAGAATTTAGGTGGTGGGTATACAGATGTTTATTGTAAATTTTTTTCAATACTGCTGCGTGTTTGTAACACTTCCTTGTAAACTGTGGAGAAACATTCTAAAAAACCAACCAACCAACCAACCAACCAAGCAACAAAAGAAAGTGGAGATGTTTAAACAAAGATAAGGTGAGCTGACTTTTGGAAAGCAACAGAGGTAATGCAGGTCCTGATGGTTTTGATCCTTCAAAGTCACGTAGTTAAGGACACCTAGATTATATGTATGGAGCCTTGGTGGTGCAGTGGTTAAGAGCTCAGACTGCTAACCAAAAGGTCAGCAGTTTGAATCCACCAGCCGCTCCCTGGAAACCCTATGGGGCAGTTCTACTCTGTCCTATAGGGATCAATAGGAGTCAGAATCTACTTAACAGCAACGGGTTTAGATTATATGAGGAGCCTGGGTGGTGCAAGCGGTTTGCAATCGGCTGCTAACCTAAAGGTAGGTGGTTTGAACTCACTCGGCTTGAACCCACTCAGGGGCTCCAAAGTGCACGGAGCTTAACAACAACACTGCTCAGAATAATATGTAAGAAAGGCAAGACTATCCCTGCCTGAAATTATCAGAGGTGGAAAGGCTGTATGCTTCTTCTTCCATACTCTAGCAGATAAAGCACAAAAATGTGATCTATTCTCTGGGATTTTGTACTTGGAACAAATGATGCAAAGGAGCGAGAATAGTTTAGATCACTGCTACTCAGAGTGGGATCTGTGGGCCAGTGCTTGTATACAAGCTTGTCAACTAGTCTGTGGGGTTAAGTATAGAAATTGTTGGTAAGCACTTAGAAAGTTCTATAGCAATTTGACATTTGCTACAATAACCAATTACATGATCACCATCTTCTGAGCAAGGTAAAAACCAGTTGGGTGTTACGGAACCTGGACAGTGAGCGAGAGCTCTGTACTAGTCATGAGCTGTAAGGCCACGTCCAAATGTATGATATTTTAAGGTTAGTCAACTGAGCCAAAAGTGTACAAAATTCAAAATTCATTTCCTTTACCAAAAGACAGTTTAAATGTAAATAAAACTTTACAGGATAAATTGTTTTAACTTGCTTCTGATGAAGGATTAAAGATTAATTTTTTAAATATAGTATCACTTGCTTCATTATGGATAAAAGTTAAAAATAAATATCCCCAGCTTGCTTAAATTGTTTTAAAATTTCTTCCATTCCTATGAACATAACAATGGGAGACTAGCTTATATACTACAATGTTAGAAAAAGCGTAGAAATAATTTAGATATATTTTATCCCCTTAAAGTAACTTTTGTTGCAGGTCCAACCTAAATTAGATAAATATACATGCTCTCAATGTGCACAAAGACATTTAATATGGGGAAATTACATTTTCACTTCTAATTTTTTGTTTCGCTATGGTTGCAAAATAACTAAAATACTACAAATGTAATAGTGACTATCAATTGCTTATATGTGTATTTTAAAAGAGCAACATGTACAGTATTGTAATTCTTTTATTTTTCTCTACTGTGTTTCTTTTGATTATATTTACTGAATGTAATGGAAAGGCTGTCAAATTCAATAATAGAAATCTGGGCTTGTATTTTATGTCTCCTCCGTCCCCACCCCAATTTCATTTTTCTAGTAAGTCATTTTTATCGTATTTTACAAAAGTGTCAATCTGTGAGGGGTTGGAAATAAAGAAAATTGGTTCTTCAGAGACAGTTTGAGAACTGGCTTAGGTTTCATTCTGACAGTGTGCTGCAAACCACATCTAGCAGTGACGGAACAGCAGTGGTAGCCTAGGTGCGATGCTGTGTGTATCTTAGGCCACTCAGCTTCTGTTGTTTTTGCCCATTTTCAGAGCCTCCAGGCTTCCCACGATTCTGTAAGCTATGTGACTGCTTTCTAACTTTTAGTTAAAAAGAGTCAGTTTCATGATTTGCACCTAACTCTGTAGGTATATTGGAAACCCTGGTGGCATAGTGGTTAAGAGCTACAGCTGCTAACCAAAAGGTCAGCAGTTTGAATCCAGCAGGCTCTCCTTAGAAACTCTATGGCAGTTCTACTCTGTCCATTAGGGTCACTATGAGTCAGAATTGACTCTACAGCAACAGATTTGGTTTGGCTTGGTTTTCTGCAGGTATATATATTTTTTACGACCTACTTCTCTTGTTTCGCTGACCTTTATTTCTCAATCTATACTTTTCCACATTAAATAACTGGCTGCCAAACCTTCACCTCTCTTCCTTCCTTCTTACTCTAAGCTGCAGCTGTTGTTTCTGCTGGAGTGGGGAGAGGTGTTCCTATGTTTTGCATTCTGTTTTATAACGACAATAATATTAAAAGGGTGAGCCAGGTGTTGGCATTAGTATGGTATTAGAAGAGCTGTATTATGAAATAAATAGTAGTGAATACTAAGTAATGATGTTTCAAGTAGAAGCCCTGGTGATGCAGTGGTTAAGCACTCAGCTGCTAACTGAAGGGTCGACAGTTTGAACCCACCAGCAGTTCCATAGGAGAAAAGACCTGGCAATCTGCTCCCGTAAAGATTACAGCCTAGGAAACCCTATGGGTGGCTCTACTCCGTCACACAGGGTAGCTATGAGTTGAAATTGACTCAGTGGCACACAACAACATTCCTCATTTAAGCATCACAACAAAACTACGTGCTCGGTATCGTTTCCCCCATTTTATAACATGAGAAAACTAAGGTGCACAGCGGTTAAATTACTTTCTCAAGGTCACCTTATTAATACAAGGCAGAGCTAAAATGCAAATCCAAAAATATATAATCACTTGGGAATCTGAACTACATTTGAACATTTGGAAAATAACCCATCTGTAAGCCAGGGACAGCTTATACTTTATCTGAGATGACCACTTTTGTTATGTTCTACTTCTTACCTGTTAGTTTAGTGAAGGCTTCCATGTCATCAATTGCTGTAGAAATGTGAAACTTTTTGCCTTGAGCACCTGTAATCTCTATGTAGGGGTCTGCTTTGAGGAAAGCATCTGTAATCCTAAAGAGGATCATTTTATAAAAATTTATGCTTGTGAGAAATTTTGAATTTTTGCTTCAAGCGTTGCTTAAAGTTAAGGGAATCTTTCTACTTTAGGGAAATAAAATCTTGAAGGTATGACATTCTAAAGAGAACTGCTTCGCAATCATACTAAAGAAGCACATGTTCATAGGAGCTGCCATGCTTAGTATGTTCCAGGTACTATGGCAGGGCTTTAGATATATTATTTAATCTTTCCAGCAACAAGGTGGGTATAACCAATTTTACAGATGCAGAAATTAAATAATTTTCCTTTAACCATCCTGAGCCTTTCTAGCACTGCCTCTTCATGTCTAGCCTAAATCAGCTCTTCTCCCCTTCATCCACCCCCTTTATCCATTCTCCACTTCTTCCTACAATTAAATTAAGTTTACCGTGTGCTAGTTTTTGTTTTGTTGTTTAAGGAAACCATTTTAGATTTATTTACTTAAAATTCACTTGGATTTATCCAGAAATCTCAACTTGGCCCAACTGAGATACTCTAGCAAAGCATCATAGAGAATTTTACTGGAAAATAACAATCACATTTCTTACATTGTCTCAATGATGTTGCCAACTTTGTGCTGGTAAGCTCTGCGGTGTAAGCAGTTGCGCGTGTGGAACATATCATACAGATTCCCAACTTCCTGCAGGAAGACATGTAATAAATATTAATGTAGTACCAGATTATGTTAACCTTGTGAGAAGACAAGTCTATAAGACAAGGAAAAGGGATGGTGGCAGACAAGAAGGCTATGCATAGGGTCTACTTCATTAAAGTCCCTGAGCCCACTAAAAACTGGGGAGGGAGGCAGATTAGTGAAGCTATTTATTGGTTTGCAACTTTCATTCTGACTGAATAATAGTAAACTAAAATCTATTGGGTGCTTTGACTCTGTGACAGGTTCTGTTCTAGGTATCTTACATTTAATATTTCTTTTAATCATCCAATAACTCTAGGAAATAGGTATTATTACTCCTATATTCTTTGCAGGAATCAAATTGACTCCACCTGTGGAAAGAGACAATAGAAAAGCTCAATATCATCAGTCAGAACAAGGCCAAGCGCTGACTGCAGAACAGACCATCAGCTGCTCATATGCAAGCTCAAGTTTAAGCTGAAAAAAATTAAAACAAATCCACAGAAGCCAAAATACAACCTTCAGTATATCCCACCTGAATTTGGAGACCATCTCAAGAATAGATTTAAAGCACTGAACACTAATAACCAAAGACCAGATGAGTTGTGGAATGACATCAAGAACATCATACATAAAGAAAACAAAAGGTCATTAAAAAGAGGAAAGAATAGACGTAAATGGATGTCAGAACAGACTCTGAAACTTGCTCTTGAATGTAGAGTAGTTAAAGCGAAACAAAGAAATGATGAAGCAAAAGAGCTGAACAGAAGATTTCAAAAGGTAGCTCAAGACAACAAAGTATTATAATGAAATGTGCAAAAACCTGGAGTTAGAAAACCAAAAGGAAGAACACACTCAGCATTTCTCAAGCTGAAAGAACTGAAGAAAATATCCAAGTCTCAAGTTGCAATATTGAAGGATTCTATGGGCAAAATATCGAATGACTCAGGAAGCATCAAAACAAGAAGGAAGGCATACACAGAGTCACTGTCCCAAAATGAAATGGTTGACGTTTAACCATTTCAGGAGGTAGCATATGATCAAGAACCAACGGTACTGAAGGAAGAAGTACAAGCTGGACTGAAGGCATCGGTGAAAAACAAGTCTCCAGGAATTGATGGAATACCAGTGGATGCAGCACTGGAGGTGCTCACTCATATACGCCAAAAAATTTCGAAGACAGCTACCTGGCCAACTGACTGGAAGAGATCTATATTTATACCCATTCCAATGAAAGGTGATCCAACAGAATGTGGAAATTATCAAACAATATCATTAATATCACATGCAAGTAAAATTTTACCAAAGATAATTCAAAACAGTTGTAGCAGAACATTGACAGGGAACTGCCCAACACTTAATTGTGCTCATGAGGAACCTGTACATAGATAAAGAGGCAGTCATTAGAACAGAACAAGGGGATACTGCGTGGTCTAAAGTCAGGAAAGGTGTGCGTCAGTGTTGTATCCTTTCAATATATTTATTCAATGTGTATGCTGAGCAAATAATCTGAGAAGCTGGACTATATGAAGATGAACGTGGCATCAGGATTAGAGGAAGACTCATTAACAACCTGTGATATGCAGATGACACAATCTTGCTTGCTGAAAGTAAAGAGGACTTGAAGCAGTTACTGATGAAGATCAAACACTACAGCCTGGCAGTTCCCTGTCAATGTACACCTCAACATAAAGAAAATAAAAATCCTCACAACTAGATCAATAAGAAACACCATGATAAATGGAGAAAATTTTGAAGTTGTCAGGGATTTCACTTTACTTGGATCCACAAGCGATGCCCATGGAAGCAGCAGTCAAGAACTCAAAGGATGTATTGCATCGGGCAAATCTGCTGCAAAAAGTCTCTGTAAAGGGTTGAAAAGCAAAGATGTCACTTTGGGGACTAAGGTTTCCCTCACCCAAGCCATGGTATTTTCAATCCTCATATGCATGCAAAAGCTGGACAACGAATAAGGAAGATGGAAGAAGAGTTGACACTTTTGAATTACAGTGCTGGCAAAGAATATTGAACATACTATGGACTGCCAGAAGAACGACAAGTCTGTCTTGGAAGAAGTACAGCCAGAATGCTCCTTGGAAATGAGGATGGTGAAACTTTGTCTCACGTACTCTGGACATTTTATCAGGAGGGACCAGTCCCTGGAGAAAGACATCATGCTTGGTAAGGAAAAAGGTTAGCAAAAAACAGGAAGACCCTCGACAAGATGGATTGACACAGTGGCTGCAACAATGGGCTCAAACATAACGATGACTGTGAGGATGGCGCAGGACCAGGCAGTGTTTCATTCTGTTGTACAAGGGGTAGCTATGAGTCGGAACTGACTCGATGGCACCAAACAAACAACATTCTTTATTCTCAACAGATTTTTTTTCCCCAAGATCAAAAGGTATTTTTAATATCAAAATAATTTTCCTTCTAAAAGTACCATTATATTGACTTGTTTTAAGGCAAGATATTTATAATTCAAATTTTTAAAGCAAATTTTTGAGATTTTTGTATTTACCAAAGTGGCATGAGCTACTTCTCTTAACAACGTGTAGGAAAAGTTTGGCAATGAGAAATTGTACACCTCGAGGTTTGCACATATGTTCAAGCTTGAATATGTTGTCATCTCACAGGAGAATTTCTTGATTCTTTAATTCTGTGCTTAGAACATGTCATTGGATGGGGGCTAAAGTTCCACAGAAAGGGTGTGATTCACCTGAAACGTGCAAATGCACATTGAAAATCCTAGCACCTCTGGGATTCTAGTAGGTGAGAGTGAGTTCAGGCTATGAGGCAGAACTTACTTCTTGTAGGGATGAAAAGCCAGAGTTTAAGATGTTCTAATGCAGTGGGTCTCAAATTTTAGGGATCATCAGAATCACCTGGAAGGTTGTTAAGACAGAGTGCTAGGTGCCAGCCCTAGAATTTCTAATTCAGTAGATCTAGGTTGGGGCCGAAAATCAGCATTTATAGCTAATCTCAGTCGATGCTCATGCTGCAGGTCTGGGAACCACATTTTTTTTTTTTTTTTTAAATTGTGCTTTGGGTGAAAGTTTACAGCTCAAGTTAGTTTCTCATACAAAAATTTATACACACACTGTTATGTGACCCTAGTTGCTCTCCATATAATGTGACAGCACACTCCTTCTTTCCACCCTGGATTTCCTGTGTCCATTCAGCCAGCTCCTGTCCCTTTCTGCCTTCTTATCTCACCTCTGGACAGGAGCTGCCCATTTAGTCTTATGCATCTACTAGAGCTACGAAGCACACTCTTCACGAGTATCATTTTGTCTTACAGTCCAGTCTAATCTTTGTCTGAAGAGTTGGCTTTGGGAATGGTTTTAGTTTTGGGCTAACCCAGAGTTTGGGGGCCATGTCTTCCGGGGTCCCTCCAGTCTCAGACCATTAAGTCTAGTCTTTGTACTAGAATTTGAGTTCTGCACCCCACTTTTCTCCTGCTCCGTCAGGGACTTTCTCTTATGTTCCCTGTCAGGACAGTCATTGGTGGGAGCCACGCACCATCTAGTTCTTCTGGTCTCAGGCTGATAGAGTCTCTGGTTTACATGGCCCTTTTCAACAGAAAGACTTTTTATAGTACGATACTATATCACTCTTTATTTATACTTCTGTAATCTAGCAGGGACCTAAAGATTTCAGGATTTTAACTGTTCTGAAACATTAAAGTAGTGATTAAGGATTAGGCTCTGGATCCAAACTGTCTGGGATGAAATTCTAGCTCTGCCACTTATTAATTGTAAGCCTTTTCTATGCCTCAATTTGGTCATCTGTTAAATGGAATAGTAACAGTATCTATCTTACAGGGTTGTGAGAATTGAGTTAATCCATGTAAAGCACTTAGAACAGCGCCTAGCACAACACTCAATAAATGTTGATTACAATTTTATTTTTATTATTTAACAATGCAAAGAAAGGAAAAGAGCCTTAAGATACTTACAAGTGCTAAGCATGAAGTAAAGAGATTGACTATTTATCAGGTACTTGTTTTTCCAAACTGTTGAATGGTTATTTCTACATTTCAGACCAGGAACTACACACCTTCCTTGTTGTTTCCACTGACATAGCTTACCTTTTCTCTAGTACAAATATGCTTCTTGTTATCTACTTCACAGACACGGGCAAACTTAATAAAGCGCTTGTAATCAAAATTATTTTGGATTCCGAGATGATGGCAGTCTCTAAAAATATTCCAAAGACAGAAACATAAAATGTTTCAGTGAGGAAACTGTACCTTAAATATTAACACTAAATTTATACAAGGATTTCAACACACTTTTCTGAAGTGGTCAGTGCGTACCTGGCAAAATAATCCCATTTGTCCACATCAATGCCATTTCTTTTATTAGCCACTATCTCATAGAGGAAGCTTTTCTCTTTGGGACGCCCTTTATATGTCCACTAGAAGACAAGGAAAGCCACTGAGAGTTTTAGGGTAGGAACCAAATCTATTTAGAAGCAAGGCAAAGCAATTGTATAATAGGAAAAATATGAACAGATACTTGACTGGGAACATGAGATAAGTTACAAGGTTCTACTCTTTCCTTTCTCCACTTGATTCCTAAATTAGTACAAACATGAAAAAAATCTTTGCCATTGAGTCGATTCCAACTCACAGCGACTCTACAGGACTGAGCAGAACTGCCCCATAGGGTTTCCAAGGAGTGGCTAGTGGATTAGAACTCTCTACCTTTTGGTTGGCAGCCATAGCTCTTGACCACTGCACCACCAGGGCTCCAAATTAGTAGAAAGGGGAAAGAAATGCCAAGCTATATAACATCCTATTAATATTAAACCTTCTGGTGCCACTGAAAGGATCCTAACTTTATTATACTTCCCACAGCCATTAAGCTTCTGTATTCTCTTGGTTTAACAGCTGGTTTGTTTTTTTTTAAATAAAGATCTAACTATGAAGTATTAAGAAGGTTCTTTAAATTATAATGCTTGAATTCATGCATCCAAAACAGTACTATCTTAAAGTAGCTACACACCTAGTCAGAACGATATGCATTGTTCGAAGTAACTTCAGAGGTCCATTTTTTTGAAATATGATATTTGCTGCAAATTCCATCTCTTTATCTTACATGTTAAAAGTGGAGCTGTATATATTTGAGGGAAAAAAAAACTAAGAATCTCAGGGGGAAATTATTTTCCAACTTCTGTTTTTAATTTAAAAACAAAAAGACAAAAGATCAAAAAAAAGAAACAAAGTAGATTTTCTTCTGCAGTGGTTCAAGTTTTTCCTAGGTCTTCATATACCTAAATATTTCAAATATGTTAATTTTAACAGATAAACTAGATATATGCTTTTACATTTCTAAACTAAGTTATTTTAGGTTTCTATATAAAATACTGCATGTATATTCATTAAAAAATTTGGAGTGGTAATTTTTAAAGAACTTACTTAAAAGGCAAACAAAAAGTTTGTCTTTCATTTTTTGCATTAAATAATAGAAATATATAACATATTTTATCATTTAGTCCCTGTAAAATAGGGAAATGCGTAACTTTGAAGGAATTAAGAAAAGACTAGATGAAAAGCATTAGTCAGCTCAGATTAAGTTGTACACAGACTTACAACCAAAGACTTTGTTGGGGATTCAAGTGGTCCCGTAATCTGTTCCTTGATAAAACAAATATCTTCTTCAGGGATGAGACCATAGTGTTGCATGACATCTCTGAGTCCATTAGAATCGACTAGGTGCTCAAACATCTTGACTGAGCCCTCTTCGTGCTAGAAAAAGTCAGCATAATATGTCTATTATAGACTCTGGCTCGTTAGGACTCCAGATTATCAAAATTACTTGAGTCTAGGTAATTCAGAGATAAGGTTCTACTGCACATTAATTATCTAGTTGCTAACTAAAGTCTTTCAGATATTTTTTAAAAACCTGTCAAATTTGTCAATATTTTACTAGTCTACAAATCTTTTATAAATCATATTCATTATTTTGTAAATATATTTAATGCATTTGATGAGATATAATCATTTACATTGCCTGGAAGAATATTACCAGGCCATACAGGTAGAATTCCATTTTAATGAATTAAAAAACCCAAAAACCAAACCCGTTGCCGTCGAGTCAATTCCGACTCATAGTGATCCTATAGGACAGAGTAGAACTGCCCCATATGGTTTCCAAGGAGTGGCTAGTGGATTCAAACTGCCGACATTTTGGTTAGCAGCCAGGCTCATGACCACTGCACCACCAAATTCAGTTCTGCAGTATTTGAATATGTGAAACTATAAGCTCTGTTAGAACTTCCATCTAGTGGTGAAAAGGGGTAATTACAAAATTGCCAGTAAAAACAAAAGTCTATCAAGAGCTCTGAAGTCAAGATCTGGGTTGGAATTTCAAATTAGCCTCCTCTGTTTGCTCACTTGTCTCTGCTTACTCGTTCACTATTGTTGTAAAGATCAGATGACCCCCTGAAGACATATGCCCTATTCCAGGTCTTAACCCAAAACTGACTCCAGATGAAAATCACAACTTGGATGGTCCTATAACTATTTTTTAAATATCAAATCAAAGATACATATTGATGACAAGAGGAATAATAGTAATTTTATAGGGGATGAATTTGGCAGACACTGACTTAACCAAATGATCACCAGTAATATTAACTCAAATAGATTTTATGTGCCTCCTGGTATTATGCACCAAGAAAGACACAATATTGCTTCTGTGGCATTCCTTTCAAAAATGCATAGCCTGACTCTATAAGAAAACATCAGACAAACTCAAACTCGAATTGAGGAACAGTCTACAAAATAACTTGACTATATACCCACTGCCGATGAGTCGATTCTGACTCATAGCGACCCTCTTGGACAGAGGAGAACTGACCCATAGGGTTTCCAAGGAGCAGCTGGTAGATTCGAACTGCTGACCTTTTAGTTAGCAGCTGAGCTCTTAGCCACAGGGCCTATGCTCTTCAAAAAATGGCAATGTCACGACAGACAAAAACATGCTATATGATTCTATTTATATCAAGTATAAGAACAGATGAAACAAATCAGTGTTTATAAAAACCAGAAGGTGAGGGTGGAGGGAAGAATTAAGTGGAAAGGGGCACAAGTGAATCTTCCAGGAAGATAAAAATGTTCTATATTCTGACTTGGGGACTGGTTACATGGATGTATACATTTGTCAAAACTCACTGAATTATATACTTAAGATATGATTTATTGTACATAAATTATACCTTAAAAAAACAAAGAGAGATGGAGAAAACAGTGGTTGACATGCAATAACCTTTCGATATATATTAATTCCCTTTTCTACTCCAGGTACCAGAAATACAGTATGATAAAAACGGCTGGTAGGGGAGCCAACCTAATTTTACTTCAAAATTGATTTTTAAAAAATCCAAAAATATGGGTCAGCCATGTGCAAATGCCTAATTGTAAAATGGTTAATTTAATATATATGATGAAACTTGGTTGGTATTAGTTACTTCGTGGTCATACCAAATGAGTCAGAACTAGAGTTGACCTTTTATGTTTTTATTTTACAGGAGTGCAATAGTGTAGAAAGAGCATTAAATTGGCAGTCAAGAAACCTGGTTTTTTAGTGCTGGATCTACCGTTTAACAGCTTTGTGATTTTGGGTGCATCAACACACCTCTCTATGAGCTTCAAGTTTCCTTACTTATGAAAGGGAGATAATGATTCCTTCCTTACAGATTACTGTGAGGATCAAATGGAAAACACAAAACAAATAAACAAAAAAATATATATATACACACACACTCACACCCTGAAAACTGTAATAGGAAATATAACACAACAGTGGAACCACACAGATAATTTAATAACCCACTCAAATAGTCCTTTTATTGCATATTGAATATATAAATACATACCTTCCATTTTACCTCAGGGCGGGCAAGTGGAATAAATCTTCCATCAAACATGTGAGAAAATGGTCCATGACCTTAAAAACAAAAGCAGCCTTAGAAGAAAGAAAAATGTTCGTAAATTGGTAAAAATAGGATTCATTTTTCTAACTTGAATATCAACAGAAATTAATAATCTATACATACACCACAAAAGGGAACAATGCTTCCTTCCTATTTTCTAAAACAAGAGAACAGGAAATAGAGCCATATAGAGAAGTAAGCTCCCATCAAGGGGCCTCAGAAGAGTCACCAGTGCTTACATAAATCTGACGAAAAGACAGTTTTGTGTAAATAAAATGAGCGTTAATGTTAAAGGAATGTTAACTTTTGGAATCTTCAAACTGAGTATTTGTGGATTAGAATAGGAGTTTTAGAACAACCCACCACTAGGGTGCAGGAAGAAAATATTATACCTTCGTTTTATTACTCTCAGCCTTTAAAAACATCTATTTTTACGCAAATTGATTTGGAGTCCCGGTGGCGCGGTGATTAAGAGCTCGGCTGCGAACCAAGAGGTCAGCAGTTCAAATCCACCAGGTGCTCCTTGGAAACCCTATGGGGCAGTTCTACTCTGTCCTATAGGGTCGCTATGAGTTGAAATCGACTCGACAGCAATGGGTTATGAGTTATGCAAATTTATAATGCACATAATATATTTTATAATAAATATACACATATTGAGGCTGTATGTCAATTTTTTTATTGATGATGTGGGCAATCAGAAGTGTTTGTGGAGATCACCAGTTTATCTTATTTATTCATAAGTGATTTTAAAATTCCACAACATTGAATAATTTGAAACTTTGTTGAGGTACAACTTGGAACTGTCAGAATTTCCATGGAATTCAATTACTGGGCAGAGACAGACGGGGCCTTCTTTGTAGTCTCAGTCTGTGTGTAAAGGCTCATTACAGCAGTGCTTAGACCCCGGGGTACTAGCGAAGGTTACTAGATGATTCCCTTTCAAAATGCCAAGAATCTGTTACAGTTATTATCTAGACGGTGGTACTAGACCTACTGAGATCTCCTGGGTGAATGAGCTGTCCAGGGTGATTTATGATAGAGGGTACCCTACCTGTCCCCTTTAAGAATCTGGTTATTGAAACTGAGACACCTCCCTGAACACTAATTCTCAGGCTCTGCTAATAGGTAGAAATGAACTACAAGGATAAGAATAAAAACTGTGATTAAAGCTGTCAGGGACAGCTCCTTTTCTCTTCATCAAAGGAAAGGGACGATATTCTTTTATTTGGATTCAAGTGGCCCAAACCTGTTAATCTTCTAAATCAGATTAGTATTCTAGGAATAAAAATGATGTATTTGGTTTGACAAAGTAATTAAAGGAAAAATGGCAATTTTATTCAACAAGAAGGATAAAATAAAAATCAAATTCACATCATCCTAAACATAGTGGACAGAAATCTTCACTAACAGAAAGTCTCTTCATATAATTTGTAGCAAAGATGTTTAACATGGGAAATTCACTGAAAGACTTCAAGAAAATAAAATAGAAATGCTTTGCGTTTATGACACGGGAGAAAGATGTGGCAGTCTGCTTCCATAAAGATTTACAGTCTTGGAAACCCTATGGGGCAGCTCCACTCTCGTAGAGGGTCGTTCTGAGTTGGAATTGACTCAGTAGCAATGGGTTTGGTTTTTGGGTTTATGAATCATTCTAGGAAGAAATAATGGCACATTTATATTGATGTTAAAGAATTAAAACAGAACTTCCATATTTCTCTTGGTTAGCTTGATTTTTCTATCTCAAAGAGAGGTAACTTATGTTACAGTTTTACACAACAACTTTGGTTCTTTGTACAGCTTACCAAGATCGTGACAAAGCCCAGCGATCTGAACACAGAGCATATCTCGCTCACTTATCTGCAGCTCCGGTTGTTTTTCATGCAGTGCACGAACTAGACATCCTGCTAGGTACCCTACCCTGCACAGCAAAAAAAAAAAAAAAAAGTCACGCTTCCGTTTGAAAAATGAGTGATACCTCTGGTCTTCAAAAGCTTTAATATGTTTTCTCAAACATTCTAATTTATCTCTAAGGCAGCTTTACAAAATACATAGTCTATTTCAGAACTGGGCAGGAACATTCACAAAATCCCAGTATCATTCTTCAACTCCGTGAAAGTAGAGATAATTTCTATCCTGTTTGTGATTTAACAGGCCTGGTTAATGTTCAACAAATATTTGTTGATGAATAAATGAACATTTGAGTATAGACACATGTGTTCTGGCTAACTACAAAGAACAAAGTAACGCACTGTAAGTTCTTCATGAAAATATGAAAAGCTATCCAGTTCTTCCCTGCCCATATTCTCCTGGTTCTACATTTTATAAAAGAAAAGTAGACCAAAGTCTCAAATTAGTTGTACATAATGGAGGTGCTACCTTCTCTAATTTTGTGAATGCTTTTTTGACATACATTTCCTGATAGGTAAGGAAATGATCTGGTTTCAAAGGGGAATTCTGCACAAGACAAAACAGGGACTACAGGAAAAATTTTACAAATCAAACTCACAGGATTGCTTATATCAATAACCAACACTATCAGCTTTTAAATAATCTGTTTTGTTTCGAACTCATATGCCAATTATTTCATACAATTGATCTTCAGATGGGCACTTTCAGTATCTTTCCAGGAAGGATCTCAGGTGGCTTACAAGAATACTAAAATATATAAAATATAGCAAGGTATGTCAAAAGCCTCAATTTTCTCATCAATAAAATAAGGATATTACTACCATTTTGTAAAGTTTTTTATTCTCTAAATGATAAAATGAGACAACTACTTCATGAGACAGAGGATGTACTGTTATTATGTCCCCACCCCTTCTTACCCCAGACTATGTTCAAATCGGTTGTGTGAAGCTCCTGGAAAAACATAGTAACTGCCTCCCAACTGTTTAATATATCGAAGCCGCTGAAATTGAGGTGTGTCAATGATTCGGATGAGGAGAGGGTGCAGCTCAATGTGGCCATGGATAGGATCATTAATAACCTAGAAAATTATGCTCAAATTAATATAAGTAACAATACACAACTCCATCTAATTTTTTAAAAAATTTTTTTATTGTACTTTAAATGAAGGTTTACAGAACAAATAGTTTCTCATTAAATAGTCAGTACACATATTGTTTTATGACATTGGTTAAACAACCCCACAACATGTCAACACCCTCCCTTCTCTACCTTGGAGGACCCTTTTTTTTTTTGGTGAAAATATATGTAGCCAAAGTTACACCATTTCAAAAGTTTCTACATGTACAATTCAGTGACATCAATTACATTCTTCCAGTTGTGCTGCTATTCTCACTATCCTTTTCCAAAGTATTCCATCACCATTACCTTCAACTCACTGCCCCCTAGGCTTCCCATGAAACCTTCTGAGTTGCTACTGTCAATTTGATCTCACATAGATAATTCTTTTTTTTTGTACCTTAAATGAAGGTTTACAAAACAAATAGTTTCTCATTAAACAGTTAGTACACATATTGCCCTATGACAATGGTTAACAACCCCACGACATGTCAATACTGTCCCTTCTCAACCTTGGGTTCCCTATCACCAGCTTTCCTGTCCCCTTCTGCCTTCTAGTCCTTGTCCCTGGACTGCTGTGCCTCATTAGTCCCATTTTGTTTTATGGGGCTGTCCAATCCCTGGCTGAATGGTGAACCTCAGAAGTGACTTCACCACTGAGCTAAAAGGGTATCTGGGGGCCATACTCTCGGGGTTTCTCCAGTCTGTCAGGCCAGTAAATCTGGTGTTTTTTTGTGAGTTAGAATTTTGTTCTACATCCTTCTCCAGCTCTGCTCAGGACCCTCTGTTGTGATCCTGGTCAGAGCAGTCAGTGGTGGTAGCCGGAAACCACCTAGCTGTACTGGACTTAGTGTGGTGGAGGCCGTGGTAGCTGTGGTCCATTAGTCCTTTGGACTAATCTTTTCCTTGTATCCTGTTCTCTTCATTCTCCCTTGCTTCCAAAGGGGTGAGACCAGTGGAGTATCTTAGATGTCCATCTAAGATTTTTGTGCAGCCATTCCAAACTATACTAGAAAGTCAACGCTACTTAATTGATCAAGTAAGAATAATACAGGAGCCCTGTTGGCACAGTGGTTAAAGTGCTTGGCTGCTAATTGAAAGTCAGCACCAGCCACTCCGTGGAAATCGTATGGGGCAGTTCTACTCCGTCATATACTCGGAATTGACTTGACAGCAACGGGTTTGGTTTTTTATACTTTTTCCAGGTCTAAAACTAAGTTTTCTTAACCTAGAGACGTCAGAAGAGTGACCAATAACATACATTTCCTATTACCAAACCAGTTGCCATCAAGTTGATTTCAACTCATGGCAACTTCATGAGTGTCAGAGTAGAACTGTACTCCAATGGGTTTTCAGTGGCTAAGGTTTTGGAAGTCGATCACCAGGCTTTTCTTCTGAGGTACCTCTGGGTGGACTTGAACCTCCAACCATTTGCTTAGCAGCTGAGCATGTTAACTGTTTGCACCACCCAGGGGCATGGCATTTCCTGTTACCAATCAATAAACAATCGTTTGAGTGTGGTATTAGAATTATCCTGAAGAGCTTGTGAAAAAGTCACATTCCTGGGGTGACACATTAAATTTCCAGAATCAAAATTTTGGGGGCAGGGGCTAGGCAGTTGAATGCTTGCTAAAAAAGATTCTTAGGACTCTGAAATTTGATGATTTTGATGTCTGAAAGGGGGTGGGGAGGAGGGATAAACAGTTACTGATAGATTAAATTTTAGAAATATACTCACCATCTGGACTAGCATTTGGAAAAAAAAGTTCACCAAAACTGACAAGAAAATTTAACACAAATTTAAAAGTTATTCTATAACTGAGGGGTAACCAGGGCTATGCTTATCAATGTGGATGATTCTCAAAAAAAACAATGTTAAATGAAAAAACAATGTTTTAAAATTTACTTATAGTATAATATCATTTATATAAAGTTAAAAAAAAATGTAAAACATAACTATACATTGTTTATGGATATACATATATATACATAGTAATATACACATATATATGTAATATGCTGAGTAAATAATCCAAGAAGATGCACTATATGAAAAAGAACAGGCATCAGGATTGGAGGAAGACTCATTAACAAGCTGCGATATGCAGATGACACAACCTTGCTTGCTGAAAGCAGAGGACTTGAGGCACTTACTGATGAAAATCAAAGACCACAGCCTTCAGTACATATTAAACCTCAACATAAAGAAAACAAAAATCCTCACAACTGGACCAATAAACATCATGTTAAGCGGAGAAAATACTGAAGTTGTCAAAGATTTCATTTTACCTGGATCCACAATCAGTGCCCATAGAAGCAGCAGTCAAGAAATCAAACGATGTATTGCATTAGGCAAATCTGCTGCAAAAGACCTCGTTAAAGTGTTGAAAAGCAAAGATGCCACTTTAAGGACTAAGGTGCACCTGACCCAAGCCATGGTATTTTCAATCATCTCATATGCATGCAAAAGCTGGAGAATGAATGAGGAAGACTGAAGAAGAATGGATGCATTTGAATTATGGTGTTGGCAAGAATATAGAATATACCATAGACTGCCAGAAGAATGAACAAATCTATTTTGGAACAAGTACAACCAGAATGCTCCTTAGAAGCGAGGATGGTGAGACTTCATCTCACTTACTTTGGATATGTTATCAGCGGGTAACAAATTCAGGATGATGCTTACTTCTGGGGAGGGAAGGGTGAAAATAGGAACTAGGAGGGGTATAACGGAGGCCCTCAATTGTTTTTAACAGTTTGTTCTAAAAATAATAGTCGGAAGCAGATAAAGCAAAATGTTAAGATTTGACAAGCTGGGTGGTAGTCTATTTGTACTTTTCTGTATGCTTAAAATATTTTAGTTTTTTTCTGATTTAAATACTCTGCGCTTATTTTAGGAAATGTTTCGAAAAGTATAAAGATTCCCAATTACCCACAATCCTATCACCCAGAAGCAGACTGACTTCCATTCTTTTTAAAATGAATTTTACATGATTAAGTCATATCACTTTATATTCAAGAAAACATACCTTCACTGTATCAACTTGAGTTTCACTTAGTCTTTGGATATGATGAAGCAGCTTCTTTCTCTCCCCCAAGGAGCTAAAATTAAAACAGGATAAGCAAATCTATCATTATATACTTAATAATAATCCATGGAGGATATAATAGCATATAATCAACTCTAGATTATCTGCACTAATACAAAGGGAAGCCAGGTGGAAGGAACAATGAATAATTTGAACATACGCATCCTGGAAACTCTTCCTCTTTAGCAACTATGACATGAGATTCCTCTGTTGAATCAATGTAGGCCTCCCCCAGGGTTCTGTTCTTGACTCTCTTCTCACTTGGTAAACTCAAGACTTCCATATCTCCTGCCTGTAGGTGAAGCCCAGGTCTACGTTCTCTAACCCAGACTCTCTTTCCCAGCTCCAGTTTCACATTTCCATCTCTACTGAATGTTGAATTTATACAAGAAACTTATTTTAACCAAATTGAAGTCAGTATCTACCCTCCTAACCTGAATTTGCATGGCACATAAAAGTGAAAACTCAACATAGCACTCTGAACTAGGGCATGGTAATAATAAAAGAGGACTTTGGAATCAGATAGAAGCAGCTCAGATCTGCCACATGGAATTGGTGTGCCCTTGGACTAGTCACTTAACCTTTTTTGTTCATTGATGTTCTCAACTATAACAGAGGGATAATATTATCTACCTCACAGGGCTGGACACAGATTAAACCAGAATGTATGAATGATGCACTTAGCACAGAGCTCTTAGTGATTCCTCAATTAACCATATCGATCTCTTAATTTAGTCTAATAGTCAGGCCCCTTTACAATACTTTACACGATTATAAAGCTTTATGAAGAGTAAGATTCATTTAACAAGTGTTTAATGAATGCCTACTATTTTCCAGACAGTGTGTTCAGCACTGGGGTTACAATAAAGACTTAGTTCCTACCCTTAAGACCCACCAAACACCTGGGTTGTTTTTTTTTTTTTGCAAAGGCTATGGCTTTAAATAAAGACTTAAAATAGGCACAGGTTGGGATAGTCAAAAAAGTAATATTTTGCTATAATAATAATATTTCTGTATTTCAACATTCTAAAATCTAATGCTTCTTACCACTGATGTGTACCTTTAATGTGACAATGTTCTTCATTTCCCAGAAAAGCGTTTATAAATCAATAGTTGATCATAAAATTGAGCAAATACAAGAAGTGCTTGTCTAACCTGGATTTCCTCTAGAAAGCAGAGCCCAGGACGAGGGCTTGCATACAGATAATATATTTTGGGAAATGAACCCTGGGAACAGAGTGGGAGAATAGGAAAGATGAAACAAGGAAGGAGGGGAAAAGAGCACAAGGATACATTAGCAAGTTGGTTGCACTGGTACCACTGTGAGCAAGTAGGGCTGATCCTACTTGGATTCCCCAAGATTATCTGGTAGAACTTTCTGCAATGATGAAAATGTTCTATATCTGCACTGTCCAACACTGTTGCCACAAGTGGTTATTGAACACTTGACATATGGCTAGTCTATAGCTGAGGAACTGAATTTTTAATTAATTTAAATAGCCACATGTAGCTAGTGGCTACCATACAGGACAGTGCAACTCTAACAAGCTGTGTCAGATCCACCTAAGAGGTACATGTTGAGCAGAAGAGGTTGCTATATAGGGTTCCTTGTGGGATTTTGTTTATTTTATTCACTTATGTGTCCTAAATTCCTGGAAGAACACCTAGCACATAGCAGGCCCTCCATAAGTATTTGTTGAATAAATCAATAGTATTTGATCTACAAAAAAGTATATGGTTCTCTTTAAAAGACAGACTCTACTAAAATAAATCCCATTTAGTTCAAAAGTAAGCAACTATTTACACACAAGAAATAAGTAGTAAAGGGTGAGGTTTGAGGGGAGTTGAGGGGGCTGGAGAGCTATAGTACGAGGGAGAAGGGGAATGTGTTTGTGAAAGAGCCAAGGTTAAGTTCCTGAAGATTTGGATCTGAAGGACATTTATTAAAAGTCAGTTAAATGTCTGAAGGTGATCTTTTTTAACAATCTACTTTCATTATCAATTACTAAGCAACAGTAATAAAATAATTCAGTACACGTGATCCTTTGTTTTGATTCCTTGGTTACTGTGAACACGAACAGCATTTAGCCAAGTGAAATTACCCGAAGAAAAGGCCTATATTGCATCACTGTTGCCAATTTCCTAATGAAAACAAAATCTCCATTTTAAGGAATAATTTACCAGTGGATCCTCAACTGAGATCTTTAAAAGTGGCTCCCAGTCTAATCTAGACTCTAGAATTTCCAGGCTTACATGGGGAGTTCTCCCTGTATATATAATTAATTAAGGGCTTACCATACTCTAAACAATTTACATACATTGCCACATTATTATTCTCCATTTCACAGGTACAGAAATGGGAAGGTTAAATAACTTGTCCCCAGTCATCAAGCACAATGTGACAAAGTTGTTTGTAGAGTCTCTTTAAATCTAATACCAGGGACACTTCCAGTCTTAAGACAGCTTGAAGGAAAACTAAAGATGTTCAATATAGTGTCGTAGCCTTGATATTTCTTGCCAACTTTTTTTTCTTCCCTATCAGTTCTTGTAAATTTTCTGGTGTGTATAATTCAATTATATTGAAATTGAGAGTAAAAGTTGGTCATTACAAATTTCATGAAGGCTTGTTGGCAAAATCCTTTAAAACAGGAGTCAACAGTAATTTTAAACATAGGATTTGCAAGGCAGCAACAACAATAACAAAATACTGTGTTAACCAGAAGGCAGGGGATTCTATTTTAAAACACTTCATAGATTTAAAATGAGGACAATTACTATTAGGGATCTTGGGCTTTGTCCCTCAAACGTAAATAAAATGGAAATAAAATAAATAAATAAATAAATAAATAAAATAAATCTTAAGTGTGCTTGCCCACAATGTGAATTTTATCATTCTTACCTAACTCCAAGATTTTCCAGAAGAGACTCATCAAGAAAGGGCAGTAGTGAACCCGTGATTTTATTTTCTATGAAAGAAAGGGGAGAAAAAAAGATGAATGAATTCAATATTTACAACATATGAATTTCAATTTCTTTCAATTTGATCCACCAGAATTTACCAATCAGATCAACATTTATTGAGTACCTACTACAGGCAATGGACTGTTCCAAGTACTCCTTTTTTGCTTTGCTATTTATAAGTCTTAATTTTAACTAGATAACTATACCAAAAGAGATAATTTTTGATAAATTAGGTAAAAATTTTAACAATTATTTGTGTAAATTATCTGCAAAAAGTCCAGCTACAAAAAATACTGTGAGGGGGGCATTGCGTTTCTTTTAATGGTGATGGAATAATCTGGAAACGGATAGTGCTGATGGTTGTACAACATGATGAACATAACTAATGTCACTGAATTGTACATGTAAAAAATGTTGAACTGACAAATGCTTTGTTATATACATTTTTACCACAATTAAAACAAAACAAAAAACAACAGCTAAGGGGGGGAAAAAAGGTAGAGTGAAACACTATGACCTGCAGCTTCCTTTTAAAACAGAATGGGGGTGGGGACAGGGAAGGAAACAGGTCTATTGTTCTTAGAATTCTCAGGTCAAAACCATAGCCTGAAAGTATTTCTAAAACCTCTGTGAAAAGCACACAGTACTCCATGTTTTGAGAGATTTAAAATATATATATATTTTTTTCCTTTTTACTTCCATATAGTTAATTCTAGTCCTTCCTGACCTCAGAATTCAAAATGCTGGACTGTTTATAAACACAAATCTTCCTAAAGATAAAAAGTAGTTCTCTGAAAAGAAAAAAATGTTTAAATGAAAATGGCTTGTTTTGTATTTTTTTATCAAAAAAAGTTATTCAATATAAAAAAAAATCCAAACAATATGAAAAATATATGAAGTATAAAATATTAACTTATTTAAATTCTCCCTATAGATAACCACTTTTAACATTTTTGATAAAACCACTGAAAACATTTATTTATGCAATTATATAATTTTACATAAATGAGATTATGTTGTCTTATAACCTATCTTACTTATCTAGTATTGCTATAACAGAAATACCATAAATGGGTGGCTTTAACAAACCAAATTTTATTTTCTCACAGTTTAGGAGGCTAGAAGTCCAAATTCAGGGTGCCAACTCTAAGGGAAGGCTTTCTAATTCTCTTGGCTCTGGAGGAAGGTCCTTGTCATTTGAGCTTCTGCTCCTGGGTGATCTTCATGTGGCTTGGCATCTCTCTTCCCCCATCTCTGTTTAATCTCTTTTATATCTCAAAACAGATTAACTCAAAATACACCCTACACTAATCCTGCCTCATTAACATAACAAAGACAACACATAACCAAATAGGATTATAATCACAGACATAGAGGTTAAGATTTACAACACATATTTTTAGGGTACAAAATTCAAACTATGAGATTTCACCCTTTGGCCCCTGTCTTAGTTATCTAGTGCTGCTATATCAGAAACATCACAAGTGGACGACTTTAACAAATGGAAATTTATTCTCTCACAGTCTAGGAGACTAGAAGTCCAAATTCAGGGCATCAGCTCCAGGGGAAGGCTTTCTCTCTCTATTGACTCTGGAGAAAGGTCCTCGTCATCAACCTTCCCCTGGTCTAAGAGCTTCTCAGCACAGGGACCCTAGGTCCAAAGGACCCTTTGCTCCGGGCTCTTCTTTCTTGGTGGTAGGCAGTCCCTCTCTGCTCAGTTCTCTCTTTTATATCTCAGAAGAAACTGACTCAAGACACAACATAATCCTATAGATTGAGTCCTGCCTCATTAACATAACTGCCTCTAATCCTGCCTCATTAACATCATAGAGGTTAGGATTTACAACACAGGATAATCACATCAGATGACAAAATGGTGGAGAACCACACAATACTGGGAATCATGGTCTAGCCAAGTTGACATACATTTTTAGGGGACACAATTCAATCCATAACATTCTACCCTTTAGCCACCCAAAATTCATGTCCTTGCCAAATGTAAAACACTTTCACCCTACCATATCATCCCAAAAGTCTTAAATCAACTCCAAGACCAAATTCTACCCTGGGGCAAAATTCCTCTTCATCTATGAAATCTAGAAAATAAATTATCAGCTTCTGAATACAATGGTAGAAGAGGCACAAGGTAGACATTTCCAAATGGGAGAAATTGGAGGGAAAAAAGGAATAACGGGCACTAAGTGTCATGGATTGAATTATGTCCTCCAAAAAATGTGTGTATCAATTTGGCTAGGCCATAATTCCCAGTACTGTGTGGCTGTCCTCCATTTTGTGATTGTAATTTTATATTAAAGAGGATTAGGGTGGGATTGTAGTAACACCCTTACTAAGGTCACATCCCTGATCCAATGTAAAGGGAGTTTCCCTGGGGTGTGGCCTGCACCACCTTTTATCTTACAAGAGATAAAAGGAAAGGGAAGCAAGCAGAGAGTTGGGGACATCATACCACCAAGAAAGCAGTGTCGGAAGCAGTGCGCGTCCTTTGGACCCGGGGTCCCTGTGCAGAGAAGCTTTTAGTCCGGGGAAGATTGATGAGAAGGCCGACTGAGAGAGAAAGCCTTCCCCTGGAGCTGACGTCCTGAATTTGGACTTTTAGCCTACTTTCTGTGAAGAAATACATTTCTCTTTGTTAAAGCCATCCATTTGTGGTATTTCTGTGGTAGCATCACCAGATGACCAAGACACTAAGCAAGTCAAAAACCCAGCAGAACACATTTCATTAGCTCTCAAGTCTCGAAAATAATCCTCTGTTCTCTGAGACTATCTAGGCAGTAACCCTGCTCTCCAGACTCTGGGTGTTCACATACTCTCCAGATTCTGGGTGGAAGTCTCTCAGCCCTGGGCTTCAGCTTAGCATTCCAGGCCCACTGGGACAGCAGTTCTGCCCTTTGGATTTGGGCAGCCCCATTCTCCTAGTCCATCTGAGTGATGACCTCACCCCCCTTGGCCCAGCCAGACCCCGTGTTCTTCTGCCCCTTCGGTAGGACAGCCCTGCCTCCTTAGCTTTGGGCAGCAGATCTGGCACTCGTGAACGGCAGCTCTACACTTCAGAACTGAGTTGATGAAAATCTGACTCTTTGAAACCTGGGGGGTCGTGGCCCCACCCTTTGAGATTGAGGCAGCTCTGCTTCCCAAGCTCTTTGTCTCTTCAGTTTCTGCTTCCTGTTTCCTTGGCCTCTCGGCCTGAAGGTGCTCAGCTCTCTTATTCCGAGGGTCAGTAAGCCTAGCTCTGCCGATTAGTGCCTGGAGGCACCCTACTCCACCAGCAAGCCTCCTGTCCAAAAGCACTCAGCTCTCTCACTCCATGGATCGGCTCCTATACCATCTGGCGCTGGTCTCCTGGTCCTGCTGCCACCATTTATCTGCTTCTGCTTCTCACCATCTGCGCTGTCTCCAGTGTTACAGCTCTCTTTACTTCCTTCTGAGCCTTCACCAGTATTGCCTTTGACATCCATAATTCCACCAACAGTCTTTTCAAGGCAATTTAGGCTTTTACTATTTGGCACTTGAAAACTCTTCTAGCCTCTACTCATTACTCAATTCCAAAACTTCCACACTGTAGGTATCTGTTAGAATAATACCCCACACTTCCGGTACCAAATTCTTACTTATCTAGTGCTGATATAACGGAAATACCACAAGTGGATAGCTTAAACAAACAGAAATTTATTCTCCCACAGTCTAGGAGACTAGAAGTCCAAATTCAGGGCGCCAGCTCCAGGGGAAGGCTCTCTCTGCCGTTTTTGGGGGAAGGCTCTTGTCATCAATCTTCCCCTCTTCCAGAAGCTTATCAGCACAGGGACCCCAGGTTCAAAAGACACGATCCACTTCCGGCTCTTCTTTATTGGTGATAGGAGGTCCCTCTCCTCTCTGCTCAATTCTCTCTTTCATATCTCAAAAGAGATTGACTCAAAATACAACCTAATCCTGTAGATTGAGTCCTGCCTCATTAGCATAACTACCTCTAATCCTGCCTCATTAACATCATAGAGTTTAGGATTTACAACACAGGATAATCACAACAGATCACAAAATGGTGGACAGTCACAAAGTACTGGGAATAATGGCCTAGCCAAGTTGGTACACATTTTTGAGGGACACAGTTCAATCCATAACAGCCCCCTAAAATTCATGTCTTAGCCACATGCAAAACACATTCACCCCGTCACATCATTACGAAAGTCTTAAATAAATTTCAACTCCAAAATGTCATCATCTGAATATTCTAAATCAAATATGGATGAGACTTTAGACATATTACATCCTGGGGCAAAATTCCTCTTTATCTGTGAACCTGTGAAATCTAGATTACAAGTTATGTTTCCAAAGTACAATGGTTGTTCAGGCACAAGGAAGATATTTCCTTGACAAATGGGAAAAATGAGAGGGAAAAAAGGGATAATAGGCACCAAGCAAGTCCAAAACCCAGTAAAATAATTTACATTAGCTCTCAAGACTTGAAAATAATCCTCTCTTCTGTGAGACCATCTAGGAAATGGCCCTGCCCAGAGGCTCTGGGTATTGACCATGCTCTCTGGATTCTGGGTAGAGGCCCCTCGGACCTGGGCTTCAGTTCTGCCTTCCAGGTCCACTGGTATGGCAACTCTGCTCCCTCACAACTGGAACAATAAGCAAGATCATGATAAACAGAGAAAAGATTGAAGTTGTCAAGGATTTCATTTTACTTGGATCCACAATCAACACCCACAGAAGCAGCAGTCAAGAAATCAAGATGTAGCAGAGGCGGGGCCAAGATGGCACAGACATCAGATGCTTCCGGTGGACCCTCTTACAACAAAGGCCCGAAAACACAAGTGATTCGATTGTACGTGGCAATCCAGAACCCCCGAACATCAAAGGCAGAGTTGAAGAACGAGACTGAGTGGCAGGGGGAGGGAGAGACAGTTCGGAAGCAACTAGGAGCTGCCAGACCTGACACCGCGAAACCCTGCGCCCTGCAGGCCTGATCAGCTCAGGCGTGAGC